TTTAAAATCTCTAATCATCCAGATATTTTCGAGTTTTTTTGGGACTTGTGTAAAACTATTCTTAGTTTCTTACATGACATCACCTTAGGATCCTGCATTGCAATCCTGGTTCTCTTTCTAATCAGCTGTAGGGTTTCTGCGCATATTCAACACTTACAATTATTAAAGCTCAACATAATATACTTTAAACATTTAAAACTCTCTAATACTATCTTACCTGGACTATGCTTCTTGCCTTTGTTCCAAGGCGTGTTCCCTTTATTTGCTTTGGAGATCCTCATCCGCCTCAATGTCTCTCTTTCATCCACTTCTGTTGGGTCCTCACTTGAAGATTGTGGCTCATCCACGGAGGAAGCTTCTTGAATCAATATCCATCCCCCAAGCGTTCTGATACTCTTTCAAGTTTCACCTCTTCACTTTTCTGGGTTACACAAGTAGATTCAAGGGTAGCAACTGCCTTAATCATCAATCCACCCTGCCGTACTCCAACACCCTCCGAGTTAAATTTTTTAACTTTTTCCGCAATACAGAAAGATTTCCAAGAAATTGAGAGTGCCAATCTCCTCTCATTGCCAATTGCAGACTTAGTACGAATGTGGACCCGAGACTTAAGAGCCAATATTTTGATACGAAAACAAGAACAAGGCTGTGCAGCAGCAATATCTGCAACATAAGTTAGCATAAAAACTCCAGATTCACAATTGACAGTTACTCCAAAGTGCTTCGCAAATAATCATAGTTTCCGTATTTCATATCAGGTATTAAAAACGCACATTGAAACATAAAAGAAACTGAAACGCCACACCGACATAGCACATTCAATAAAGCCAATTTCATGCATTATCAGTAAATAAAAATAAAATTTGAAGGCAGTGGAAAAAAGTGGAGATAATGCTAATTAATTTTGGTTTGCCTACCTAACAAAGGCATGGGGAGGTCATCCAATCACTGAAGCACACAGTGCTGCTCAGATTAACATATAACTGTAAGTGTCACTGCAGTCGGTAGAGATTCCATGCACCCACTAAAAATATACCAAAACTGTAATTGTTGTTCACAGTAGATTGAGTAGTGAAGAAGTTAAGCGGAGCGGGAAAGGAGATTTCGAAGAACACCGCGAGAGAGAGAGCGCCACAATTTAGCGGTGTGTGTTCTGTCCAAATAATTACAGCCGCTGGATAATGATACCATAGAATTTACTCCACCATGCATACAACTCTCAACACCAACCATATTTCGTAACTCATGACTTTTGTACATCTAAAATGATATTCTATGATTTGTAAAATTAGAGACCATTGATTGTTTTAGGTGTTGTTAACATTAATGACAAAATTGTGTATCACACCGTGAAGTGTAAACAAAACTGTTAACCATTATGTAAGTGTAACGAAACTGAATGAATTATTGAATTTCAAATTTTATATTTCATAAATATAGAATATAGAGGTACTTACGACGGAACGAACCAATATGATATTTCACATTAAAGTCATGAACGCCCTCAAGATTTCAATTCTTCAATTGAATAAGTTGAAGTTTAAGTTGAAATAATATGATTTAACTTCCTTCTTCAATGTTTTCGAGATGAATAAACGAAAACACACCAACAAATATATTAACAATATCTATTTCTTCTTCATCAAATGTCTTAGTTAACCAAGAAGCATAAGGAAACTTGAACCCATCCCTATTCTTGTTGATCTAGATCTTGGATTTAGTAGATATGTCGTATCACTAATGCATTGCTCTTTTTCTTATTTTGTGAACCATTCATCTCCATATAATTAATTTATATGCTAGATCATATAAGAAAATGCGTAAAGTGAAATTTCACAATGAAAGCACATCTGGAAAGCTAATGGCAACATGCAATTGTTGTTGGCCGAAGGATATTATCGGATTTGAAGGATTACTGATGACAAACTAAGCTCCTGTTTGGGGTAAACTAAAATTAGATTTTTAGTAAATTTTGATAAAAAATAATAAAATTAGTTAATTAATTGTTAACTTCAACTTGAAATTTTAATTAGATTTTAATCCAAACTAAATAAGGGCTAAACCTTATATAAAACTTGGGTGATCTGAATGGAATAAAAAATAGTCGAGTGAGTACAATGAAATTATTTTGAAAGTTCATTGACCTACTGCTGCTAACATTTATATGTCATAAGCAGCCCTCATCTCTTATCCACAGTGATCATGATAAAAACTTTTCACTCTTGATGTGACAAAAAAATAGTGAAAAGTTTTTAATTTATGTTTCTCTTGCCATATCAACAGTAAAAATCTTTTATCTTGCACACTAGGGACGGGATCAATTTCATTATTAGTATTTTAAGATGTCCCTTGTGCCTTGTTTACATAGGATTCAAGATATGCACATATAAGTCAATTTTCATCTCTCAAAATTAGTAAAGATAAAGCACAAAATCCATATATTGTCTATGCAAAACAGAAAGAACCACCTCCAGTTGTACTAAACAAATACAAGAAAAGAAAAGAGAGAAATATTTTGACCTCAAATATTACACAAAAAATGCACTTATTATTGAAAACATATATCAATTCATATACAACTCGAATCCTGAGTACAAAAACTGAGGGAGGGAGGGAGGGAGAGAGAGAGAGAGAAGACAAAACATTGTACAAAAACTTTGTGAGGACGTCATCAACATATTTTACGAGACTTTCCATGGGAATAGCAGCCTGGCTATGTATTTTTGGACAAATCTCATTGAAAAGAAAATCAAATTAGAACTACCTTCCGAAAAAAATTGAATAATATATGAACATTGAAAATCAACGGGGAATTTAATTCCCAAATAGTAGGTTCAAATGTACAAGTAAACAGATTTTACTCGGCAGGGGTAACACCTTGTGCATTCTCTTCGTATAAATCAGTCTGCGACATACTAGGAATGATTGTAGGAGGTGACCATTGATCGGGAACCATCAGAAAATAGGTAGTCATTGCTTTCCTGAACCTCTTCTTATATTGCTTTGGAGAAATTACTGTTGGGGAAATATTCTTGGGGCCACCAAGTATGCCAGATGTCTTCACCCAAGTCTCCAGCTGCTTGTCCCAAGTGTACTGTCTCATGAAGTCAATAATCCCAAGAACAAGCTCATGGTTCTCTTCATCAACCCCGACAAGAAGCGAATAATCCATTACATCTATAGACTGCAAGTTCAAGATTAGCTTAATTAGCAGAAGTGAGGTGGTTTCGTGGATGGTGTGGAGCTATAATAAGGTTTTTTCTGTATATAGCAGACTGATTTAATATCATAAGATTCTGTTCCTCTCACATTCTAATGTCAAGGTTAATTACTGGGTTGAACAAAAGCTCTAATAATAATAATAATAGGCATAGAGAGAGAGAAAAGTTAGAAATGCATGTTGCAGCATGCAGTGCAGACGACTGATAGATACAATTTTGCCTTGCATACTTAAAAAGTTTCCAAAATTCAATTTCAATCTATCAGCATCTTGAAATCCAGGTTCTTCTACAGTGCGAATTGAAAAGAATGAAGAATGTGAATCTTTTCCTCAGATCAGTTCAATGCCAACTTTCAAGTCTGTGTTTTACTGTGTGTATTTCAAGAACCAAGTAACTGAATTCATCAGTAATAAGCAGAGAAGATGTAAACTTACTGCAAGAAAAGCAGTATCATTCCAGACAGCTCTCTCTAACAACCTCTTGGCTTTATTCCCAACAAAAATTGGAGAAGTAGGCATAGCTTCAATCAAGTTCTGATCAAGCAAAACCTTATTACCTCCACTAGAATCAGGATTGTACCGAGACCTGGAAGATCCTTTAAGATCATAAAGCCGTTTCAGATTTCTTCCGAACAGAAGATTCTCCATAACCAACAGATCCATTTTTGATTCCTTCCCTCCTTTGAGATGTTTCGATGTAACCTTTTCAAAATACCAAAGAGATCATGAGGGTATTTCAAAGTAATCATAATGCAAAATAAAAGTTTGTCCCGATCTATTTTTGAGGAATTAAAATGCCATGATACGAACAGAGATTATCTTGGTAAAAGAAAGAATGTAGAGGGGAAATTTGTTCTCCTTTGTAATAACAAATGAGAAATAATGTGTGTGTGTGTGTGTGTGTGTGAGATAGCAACAATATAGTTTTCGTAGAAGGAAGAACCATAGGGTCGTAGAAGCTACTTTATGCATGATGCCAAAAGTTAGGTCCCAATAGGACCAGCAATCTCATTTAGCTGTAATCTTATTACTGCCGTAATACAGTGTACCGTTCTGCCAGCAGACCTGACAGCTTAAGAACCATTTTGAAGACAAAATACTAAGCCCCTCAGGAAAAACAATATTTTGAATAGTGAATTTTTGGAGAATGTGTGGTTAAAAAATGGGAAAAAATTTTAGGTTTACGTGTAGAATATTTTATTGTGTAAATGTATGGTTGAAAATGAGTATGTAGAAAATCGTGTTTTGAAATAATGGTTACCAAACAGAGGCTAAAGTTAAACATGAAGAACAGGTTCCGTATGAAAAGAATATGTGGTCAAACCGAGACACTTGAATGTCCAACTAACTGGACCTCTTGGCAATCTGTTTCTTGGGCCATCACCAAGTAGTCCAACAACTCCATAGTTAATTAGTTACATCTGTATGTAATATTTAAGCAGTACATTTCAGTAAAACGGTATCTTTAATACATCATAGAGTTTTAAGAGTTAACAAGATGAAGATGTGTTGCTCTGGAGGAAAGCGTGTCAGCTATTAATCTCAAGCCCCAAACGATAAAAGAAAAATAATTGTGTAAATAAGCAATTATGAACTAAACAAATAAGATAATTTAGATTCTGTTTCTCGGAAATACCTGATATATCCCAAGGATCTTTGCCAGGCATGTTGGGCTACCTAAGCCAATTGATTCGGAAAGATACTTAAAATATCCAGGAGCAAACTTGATGAATGATTCCAGCTCGGTCTTTGTCACTTGCTTAATGATAAATCGATCATCCAAGGTTTTTGCAAAAAAGACATTGCTCTTACCACCTTGGGCTCCCCACTTCTTACAACGACTAAGAGATCTGACGAAATCCATCTCGGATGGACAACATATTCTCCTCAAGGCATCAAAACGCTTTGCATAGTAACAAGTAACTGTGTATTTCACCTTCCCAGGGAGTCCATCATCCACAAAAGACACTTTCGCATGCAAGGCTTTTGTATATGAGATTGGGTCCAAAGGCAAGGAACTATGAGAACTAAACGAGGAGATATTTTCATCTCCAGATCCAAGACTTCTGTAAGATTCCAAAGTCATTTCATCAGAGGAATGAATGGATTGAAGATTCCCAGCATCATGGGACTGCAGAGAAAGCATTGAGTTTGCAGTGTCCTTTGGTCTCTCAAGCTCATCAGACAGCTGGACAAGATATTCAGGTGACACAAGTGCATAAGATATAATACTTGTGGGTTCATCGTCATAGACTGGAACAACAGTGTCATTAACCCCTAAAGGCAGAAGCAACTTGGCTCCACCCTGGAATTCCGAATCCCCAAATGATGATATGTACACTGGATTGTATACACCAAGTGTATCCAGTTTCTGATGAGTCCCCGATAGATTGTTTAATGATCTATAGAAACTTGTAAAAGACATTCCCAACCAGCTCACGGTATCGTCCATAAAATCAGAGCCTTTAGTAGACAACATGGAAGGCAGCTGAGACACCTTAGACACGCTCATATTATCCTCGTGGTCTTCCACATTCAACTTTTCTGCCAATCCAACGGTGGTCAAAGAATTTGTTTCAAATGGTTCGTGTAACTTATCATTCATAGTTACTCCGACACCTGGGTGATTTTCACCGGTCCACAATGCATCACTAGCATCTGATAAACAAAGAGGGACTTGTCCATCAGAAAGGGTTCTACGAACTGCAACATTAGATTCCAGGAGATCTAATTCATCAAAGGCCTTTGTCCCAATAGGAAGTGTCGATGGATTTACATATCCATGGTTGAAGTTAATACCCACACCAGTTCTTTGATGAACTACTTTAGGATGGCTGTTGTACCTATCACTTAACCCTTGATCATGGTTTTTGACACGCTTTGCATCTGCAGAAACAGAATCAGGACTGCCTGTCTTAATAGGGATGATTTTATCAAAAATGTTCTCATTAACACCAATGGATTTCTCAACAGGATCTGAATTGGGGACATCCAAATTATCCTGTTCATCCTTCTTATCTAAACTGGCTGCGTATATCAGGCGATGGTCCCACATATAAGACTGGAAGACTAGTTGTCTTTGTAATCGATTGATCTCAAAAATATCAATGACTGGTTGGCCCTTTCTCGATTCCTTGTTCAAAATTTTCTGGAGTGTTTCCTGCCATATCATTGAACATCCATCAGCACCCAATGCTTCCAGAAACTTTTACAATTTAATGTTGTGTTGCATTGTAATTAATACAAAACTTCTATCATGAAAGGATTGGAGTCATGTATATGTACTAGAAGTCTACATTGCAAAGGATCAAATCAAAAGTACACTTTCTGATATCAAGTAGTGTTAATTTCCAGCTATGCTGTCTAACAAAGCGAAAGAGAAGATACTTTTTTTCCCTTTATAGTGTATGTTCCCTAGCTATGGGGTTCTCGAATAGGGAGGGAGCTAAAACAATATGATAATTCTACCTTCATTTTTGCCTGGCATGTGGTTGTATTACCTGCCAAATTATGGGGATAAATTCTTATTTTCACCAAAACCATGTAAAGGATATAGGTTTTACTAAGAAGTGTAATTAGGTATACCCACCCAAAGTAAGGCAATATTCTACTTCTACATGCATGTCAAAGAGGAATGTAAAGCACGTATAATTAGTGGTTACAGGTATAGGAAATAAAACTCAATATTCAAAATTGAGCCCAGACCTCAAATTCTGCCTTCTCTTTCTGCAATATCCCTTCTAAATACGTTATCTGGCGTCTTGATTCAGGTGATTTCACTCCACTATTGAGCAAACCAGAGCCAGATTTTTTTTCTGCCAAAAGGCAGATAGCATTGAGCACTTCAGAGAACAAAAGCTCAGCCCAGCCTTCTACCTATTAGAATTTAAAGGTTAGATTAAATACATGCAGTGATATTTTACATGTACAGAAATTAATTAAATTTTTGTATAAAAAAAATCACCTTATTCAGCTCTTGTTTCATCCACTCCTGCGTTTCATAGTTAAAATCAAGTTTTGGGGGAGGAAGGTATACTGAGTGAACATCAATTGATGCATAACGAAAGCAAGCAACCATTTGGCCAAATCTGCAAGTAACATAATCATCATAAATCCAGGTAAAATATAAAACAGGTAGAAATGTACACCCAATTCGAATGCAAATTGCTTCCAGAATTTATTCTCATAAAATAGCCAAAGAGCAAGTTTTAAAGGTCTAGAAAATAGGATACTCGGGGTAATAACAGGATAGCACAGTTGAACAAGTCTTGTTCATGACTGGCAAGGTTAATGTAACGACACAGCCCAATTGGTACTATGATTCAACTTACATCTCTCTTAAAGTGAGGTGGGAGCAACGGAAAACCGTGAGATGTAAGATGGGCTAGGCGAGAGGAATAGAGGTTGGGTCGTTACAAAAAATGCGCGTTTTTTGTAATAATGACCTGACCTGTGTGTCCAAGTCGTTAACTTACGTACTGTCAGCTTTAGGAGATCCTGAGCTCATCTTACCCCTCACGAATTTCTATCGCGCCCCCAGAATTCGAACTCACGATATTTCTCTTAAGAGAGACTTAAGTTGAATTTTGTCAATTGGTACCATAATTCAACTTAAGTCTCTCTTAAAGAAAATATCATGAATTCGAATTATGGGGATGCAATAAAAATTTGTGAAGGTCAAGTGGGCTCGGGCTCTCCCAGAGCGGACAGTATGTAAGTTAACGACTTGAGCATAAAAGTCGGGTCAATACAAAAAATGCCCAGTTTTTGTAACGACTCAGCCCTATGCCCAAGTCGTTGACTTACTTACAATCCGCTCTGAGAGAGCCTGAACCTATTTTACCTCTCACGAATTTCTATCACGTCCACAGAATTTAAACCCGTAACTTTTCTTTAAGAGAGACTTAAGTTAAATCAGACAAGTACTCAATTGGTAACAGGATTCAACTAAAGTCACTATTAAGGAAAAAGTCACGTATTCGAATTTTGGGGATGTGATAAAAATCTGTAAGGAGGTAAGATGAGCATAGACTCTCCCAGAGCAGACAGTACGTAAGAGAATGGTCGACCACGAGGCTTAGGTCATTACAAACAAAAATGCCCATTTTATGTAACGACCCGACCTCTATGCCCAAACCATTAAGTTAATTTCAGCATAACCATGTATTATGCATGCCACGAAGTAATCAAGTAAAAGTAATCAAGTTATAGGCGGTCTGAGTGAACCTGGTTGTCAATAAAAGCCTATATGCAATTATGACATTCTAAGATCCTGACAAATTGTAAAAAGGAAACTGAGCAAGAGATCATACCCATAAAAACGAAGACAGTCTCGATGTAAAGAATGGCCACAGCTTGCCACTCTACTAGCAGCTGCATGATTTGAAAAACTTAGCTCTAAAAACTTTCCAAAAGATAATCCCCAAGCAGCATCAGACATAACAACCCTTCGAGTTGCTGGAGGGAAGCCATTACTTCGTGGACACCGCAGGCACCTATGCCACATCCAAATCTTTCCTTCTGTTTTACCAGGTAAATGCATTTCTGACAGTTTCTTAACTGAGATCGTAAGGGTGCCTTGTCGATGAGTATAACACTGAACATGCGCTTCAGAGGGCATCTCACACGAACAGCACCTATAACTCTGTCATAGAAGTTAGACCTCTTGGTTTAATTCATGTCTATGATGTTCCTAATATAAGAAGAAAGTTTGTTTGTGGTTGGGGGAGACATGGAGAGAGAGTACCTGATCAAATAAATGATCCCGCAGAAATCGGCCCAATGGCTTGTCAAAATTTCCGTAGTATTTGATCCGGAAGAGATGGGATCTTTCACAGACAGTTCCCTTCCACATACATCGTGATGATAGGGAAACCAAGATGCTTTGATGATCAGAAGGGGATGGAGGAAACTCGTCTTTTAACAATGCTTGTTCCTCAACAATGTGTTTTCCATCAGGTTGCAAAGCTGATGGATTTGAACTATTATGGTTAGTATCCCAAGCATTTTGCACGCTTTTGATGTTTGAATTACCCACATTATCAGCTATGTGATGATCTCCTGTGGCATCCAATACACTGACTGCTTCAGAAGTTTCTCCCCCTGAATACTTTCTCAAATCTAGTACGAATTCTTTTCCTAATGCATGAAAAGAAGAGGACTCGGTAAAGGAAATATTCTGAACACCTTGCATATAAGATGAGACAAGTGGTTTGATGAGCTGGGAGCTCACAGGAGGAGGAAGGTTACTCGTCAGCGGAATTTTAATTTCATGAGTAGAAGCACTTGAGAACTTAACTGAATCTGAAATGTGGACACTGTTTGACCTCTGCGGCTCACCAACAGTTTGAGGTCCCAGAGTTTTTTCATTGGCAGTGACTGCAAAACCAGGTATCATTGAGATGGACCTGTCAATGGTTGATGACTTGTCTGGAAGCGCAACTGTTATTTGGGAGTTTAATGGAAGTTCTGGCAGAGAGGCACCCTCATCAGCAAGAAAAGATGTCTCTAAAGCTAAGTGATAAGCTGCAAACACTCCATATTGTACAACATGTTTCACTTTCTTTAACTCATCCCCACTGGCACCTCGAAGTAATATCTGAAACAATCAATATTATGATAGCATATTAGGAAAAGGATGCTTATTTGCTGACTTTACAAGGACTGAGGTCTTTAATAAGGTAACATGTTTCAATCAATGTATTTGACACTTGACATGTACCCCAAGAAAATATTAGAGCAATACTTGATGTAATTTTAATTCAGGAGGCTGCTTAATTTAGCTGATTTTTACAGACCACATCAAATCATTAGAATTTTCACTATCTAATATTATTATCATTGCTCTTGTTCCTGTTACTGGTTGCAACAGACTTACAGTGCAACCCAGTGGCCTTGGACAACCTTCAAAGTACATCAGCGTCTTCGCCAGCTTCTTTCCAGCTTGCTCAGCTGTGCCATGCTCTTCTGAAAACCTCTCAACATGGAACATGTCACAATATCCCAATTTCGGTGAGGCTAGATTGTCGATAGATGGAACTATTTGACCACCTGTGCAGCGTGCTATACGCTCCAAAAGTGGCCTTTTGAGATTTAGAACAAGTGATATGTCTTTTGCGAGAAGGTACTCTTGAGCATATCGTGAAACGGATTTCTCCACCAAAAGAATATCAGGATTGTGAACATCTATCTTTGCAACAGCCATCTTAAGATGATCCATTTCCTGAAAAGATGTAAATCCATAAGCACGATACATCAAGAATTACATTTAAAAATTACAGTACCAATGACAACAATTAATGATCTCAACCTGCTGCAACAGCGTATCAAAACTTGAAAGGGCACTAGAAACCCGCTGGTACTCAAGAGCCCCTCCAAGGATCAGTAAGCGAGGTTTCTCTATTTTTGATGTCATCCGTCGATGGGCCACATTCTTCTTGCAAACAACTCCTTTGACCACCATACTTTCCAAAGGGAAAAAAAATCTTTGTAAGAGCAAATTTATAAATAGACACACGAAAAAATGGAGAATTTGGATCAGGATGTGATGTCACTCGCAATATAAATGAAAATTAAAAGTGAAATTTAATTTTTCTACTTGAGTTCATTAAACAGATCAGGGTACAAATGAAGTTCACATATCTCAGGATGAACTTTAGTGAGTTTATCAATAAATATTGAACTTTACTTTTAAAAGCTGTGATTCTCCTTTGCAAACTGAATTTATTGGGAATAAATAGCTTCATATTAATTAGACCCTAATACAATCTACCTACATTGGCAATCTATTTTAAAATAACAGAAAGGCTGCATAAACAAGATAATAATATCATTAGTTTGTCCTTCCATATCAAGAGGCAAACTTTTTAAAATCATTCTGCTTTAGTCGCCATTTTGAAGGCAGGATTGAAGGAGATGCAGTACCAAGGAAAGAGAAAGAGCCTTAATTCCTGTTATAGCAGGAAGGGGAAGAGGAGGATGGGGTGAGTCAGTAGAGAAAAAAAGGTTCACTCCTAAATAAAATAAAACTATCAAAATGGCAATTAAAAATTGATATCTCCCCATTCCGTTTCCCTCCAATTTCCCTCTTACATAACAACTAAGAGCATGTTTGACCAAGCCTCACATACTTTTTCTCTCTCCTCGCTTATAGGAAAATAAACAAGTGTCCAAACATGTATATGCTCTCATAAGAAGCTACTTTTGAGCTTATCCAATCATGCTCTAAGAATAACTGAGATAAGCTTAGCCCAGGGCAAGAATTTAAAGTGGTCTCCTTCCTTCTCCCCTTTAAGATGTCAACAGATTTAACAATTTAACATAACTTCGCATGGTGAGTACATGCATTTCACTCTAATAAAATTACTCTTTCTTAAGATTCATATTTAGACATATTTGTGACAAGATGTTTTGTGGCTGAGTTGAATTACAATGATACTTCTAAAATTTCAGATTGTTTACCTAGTATGAGAGGTCTGCGAAATTTGGCTAGCTCTTCCAGAGGATACAAATTTGCTATTTCAAATTATCAAACCTTTTAAATTTATGTTAGCAGTACCATGTCACAATTTTCCTTGGAATTGGGTTCTAAAACTGTCGCAGCATATTCACTGCACCAAAACAATAAAGAATAAAAAGGTTTTATACTTTTACAGTGTGTATCTGCACCAAAATTTGGCTACAGGGAAAGGTCAACTCAAAGTCCTATAGGATTTAAAAATGATTAGTCTTTATGATTTAATTTTTGAGGAATGAGGAAAAATTAAATAAAGCTTTCTTGAGTATAACTTTATCAATCTCCTGGGAACTAAACCAAAAGGGAAAAGAATTACTAGCTCAATCAGTTCTACAAGGAAACATATAACTTATCATATAGAAACATAACTCCACTCGCCTTACCGCATCCTACAGTCAGCTATAAAAAAATTATTCTTCCACTCTCTGCCAATCCCATTTACCCAGCTGATCTCGCCAATAATCATATCTTGCTTGCTAACTTCACCTCGAATTGTCCAGTTCTTCCTATGGATTGACCTTGCACATCTTCATAGTCAGGGCAGTGTTTTACCAAGAATCGGTGTTTTCATTCACAGCTCATTTGGCTTGTGCACCATTTCTTAACTGCCTAACGTTAACTATTGCATAACACAGCCAGTCCCACTGCAACAGAATTTTGCTTCAACTTGACACCCATTTTTATCAAATAAAAAGTATTATCTTAAATTTCCGCCTGACTATCAATTGATTTTGGATACTAAAACACAATCTCTTTAAGGTCCTTGTTGACATGAAGTATTTGGTTTAGATTATATCCATACTCTTGCATAGATAAAGTTACATTCACTTATTCTACCTTCTTCCATTATTCTAAGGCACCACCGCCAATGACCTTCACTATCCACAACTCTAATTTAGACTTCCTCCTTCAGTGTAGCTACTTAGAACTCGTGAATATACCATCTAAAAATAACACAGACCACAGACCATTATCATGCAGTTCTTGAGTGACATCAGCATAAATTAAAACAAAAGGTGAATGACCTTTAAAGAACCATTGACCTAGAAACCTAAAGTAAACTCACCTAAAATTGTTCTTATTATGGTCACAACCCTGAGCGCTACATAGTACATATAACCCTTATGACATCAACTTTTTTTCTGAGGACCACCACAATAAGTTTCTAGGATCCTTAATATAGTATTTATTTGAACAAATGAAAACAAACATTTACATGTGTCTTTTCTTTTTACCAACTCAACATATATATAGCCTTCATAATTGTTCTTCCATGAATAAATCTAAATTGGATCTCCACAAATCGCTTCCAGTCACAGTCTATAGACAACCAATCTCTCCCAACCCTTCATTATTATACAAATGACTGATGACGACACAATTAATAGCAGAAATATGAATATCTCCTTTAATTTTTATTCATAAAAAATGAAAAACTCTTCTTCCATTCATTCAGTCTTCTCTTGTTTAATGTATATTTATTTAAATAGGTTATTAGCCAAAGATACTTAATAACCCAATAAAATAATCACGCTATCTCATGCCCTATCACATGTCAACTTCTTCAAATTATGATGACTCGCACAATATTTTTCTTTACTTAAAACAGATAAAGATCAAATAAATCAAAAAATTCCAAGCAGAAGACCTAAGGATTTATTGAAATGGCAATCATCAATAGTCTAGATAAGGCATTTGGTAAAAGATTTAATTAAGGAGTCCTCTGTTAGAAATCCTGTGAATTTTTAGTTTGTATTAAGTATTACAGTTATACCAACCTTCACGTATGTCCATATGGTCAAGAATATTTTTCAAGAGGAACCATATAGTACCTTTATAACAATAAATAACTAGCCTGACCATAAAACATACTTGTGCACATGAGAGCAAAGCAAGGCCGATAAGAAACCTTTCAACAATAACAGATTCTCTATCTTAATGATGAACTCCATATAAAAGTGAAACTTTGAGGAAGAAAAATTTTGCAAAGTTAGTCGATTTGTGCATACACTTTTAGCCTTTCATCCACTTTATTCGTGTTTAAAGTTAGCAATTAGTAGTAGAGACTTGGTTAAGTTTGTTGTACTTTTGGGGACAATTTGGGGTGCTTTTTCAGTTTCCCCGTTTAGCTTCAGTAAGAGCTACAAGTCGGTGCAGGTAATTGTAGGCTATATTTTATTTCAGCTTCTCAGGTCTAGGCACAGGGTATAAAGCCTAAATCTTGGTTGGTCATAGGCACCAAGACAGCTTGGTCTGCAAGTTTTACTTGCTCAAACATGCTCAGGTAAATATAGACATGGTAGGATTTCTTGAAATCTCTATGATGCAACCCATCGCATTCAAAAAATAAAATAAATGTTATAAGAAATCTATAAAACAGCCAATTGCGAGTTAGAAGAGTGGAGTAACATAAAAGTCAATACCTCTCACTGCGGCGCCCAGAAGCAAGACATTTTACCTTCACATATCCCCCGGGGTCCATTTGCCCTCCCTTGCTTGTATCAGGCTTTAATAATGTAGCAGCCTCCCATGATAATGATGTAATTATATCTAACCAAGACTCCTTATCATTATCCACTCCCAAAAGAAGGTTCTCCACCTGCAAAAGCTGAGATACCAAAGCCCTGAAATGTCCATCAACCACGTTTTTCATAGCCTTCTTGCGTTCCTCATTAGATTTGTCCCTGCTTCTATAATCCCCACTCCCGAAGCTGCTTGAATTACGAAAATATCCCCATTCTCCAGTAGGGTCCTCATCATCTTCATCATCACAAAGAAGTCGTTCCCTTTCATCTTCTTCATCTTCTGGTTCAGGAAGGAGCCAGAGATCTCCATTGTCTTCAAAATCCATGGGTTCAGCATCAACATCTTTAGTTGTGCATAAAGAAGGTCTTTCACATTCATCACCAATATCATGTTCAACTTCTTTTTCCACAATCTGGTGAACTTCTGAAGCCGGAGATTCAAAACTATTTTGTAACAAAGCGATATCAACGACTTCACCATCAGGATGCACATTACGTGATTCGTAGTCATTGTCAATATCATCAAACTCAACCGGATCATAGTAGCCATTAAACTGGGGAAAATGCCTTCTTTCGGAATCTAAATGATAAACTCCAAATTCTTCATCATCAGCATCACTCCTGATTGAATAATATTCAGTTAATATAGCTATTGATGTCAAATAAGTTGCCACCACATGAGGATAATCTAGTGGACAGTAAATGATATGCTACAGAGATTACGATATCAGCATTTTCTTTCTTGGGTATAGAAGCAGTTAGGGCATAGATGGCACATAAAATTCCTAATTCGAGACAAAGCACAAGTTAGATATAATATTGACAATCAATACAACATTCAGAGGAGCACATCTCAATTGCGTCTATTGATAGTTCATTTGTTCTAGAAATAATTTGTACAGCTGAACTTCAACTCCTTATTGAAATCTGCGCAAAGAAGGTATATAAAGGTCGACTAGCAACTCTTCCAATCATATGACAGGCTCAATAGGCAAGTAAAACTTCATATAAAAGAAATGTTTATTTTGCAAATACGCAATCCTCAATCGAAATGAATAAATCAGATCATACCATGGCATAGAATTGTTTTAGGTATCGTATGATGGTTAGTGTAAATATTATGTTCAGTGCATTGTGCATAGAAGATGCAACAGACAGCAGTGGGAGGAAACTGGAAAGCAATATCTTACAGCAAACAAAGATTCTATGTAAAATTTAAATTGGCTTCTTGAACAAGTTGGGGGTGCTGAACATTATAGGCCAGATACTCGAGTTAACTAAATGGCAATCCATAAAAACAAGATAAAAAAGAACATTATTTAGTGATATATAAAAATAAATAAGAAGAAAAAAACATGTTTAATGCCTTTATTCAAACTGCACCTGATGTGACCGGCCTAAGAGACTAGCTGGTAAGGACTATCAATGTTCAATATTTTATGCAATCTACCATTTTAAGCAAGAATTGGAGCTGTAAAACTATGCTACTTATATTTAAGATTGCAGAAAGAAGAACCTGTTTGCACAAAATTCAAATTGGTCAAGAGACTGATTCCGTTCTATTATGTCTACAGCATTCTCTTTCTTCCTTGCTGCTGCAACACTTTTCCTTTGTGTAGTCTTTTCCATTGCTGCTTCTGATTGATGTGGGCTAAGTCCAGTTGATTCTGGCATTGATGAAAATGTAATGTTACTACTGTCACAGGTTCCACTAGACCTTGTACTAATAAAACTAGTTTCTGAAGGAGAAGTAGTATTAAGGTCCAGGGTGGCAACGTGTATCCCATTATCAACTGTCCCCATCGATCCATGTTCCCATTGCGTAAAACAGAAATTGCAGACCCTAACCTTATCCCAGTCTTCTTGTGGTGTCTTCGGGTCACTAGACGTTGTGGGGATCCAGTTTGAAGTGCACCTGGCACAGAAAACCCGGCCGCAAAGTCGACAGTGGTGCCTACGGTTGAACAAGGTGAACTGTGAGTCACATTCATAGCACACTCTACAGCTCTGATCCGGCATCCAAAAAACCCTGGACATCTTAGCCGGCTCAGACCGTCCGGGGATCCACGATTTCAATAAACCCACTATATCTGAGAATGTCCTATCTGAGGCATCCATCAAGATGCCCTTTCCCTATCATTGTGTTGTTCTCATCCATTGACTACTCTTTTATCCATCCAATCCCCTGAAGAACCACACAGAATAATCACAGAAGTCCAATCCAATCAATAGCCAACTACAAAATTCAATAAACTATTCCACTAATGACCAAAGTCACAAAGTCTTGATGAATTTCTATCAAAAACCTCTCAAAATTCCAAAAGAAGTGCAGTTACAATTCTGTCAATCGATGCCCAATATCACGAATACCAAAAGCTGCAGCGAAGCTTGATTCTCCAATTAACCCAGGAATTACTTTGCCAGTAAAATTCTCAATCTAATAAAAATTCAAACCCCAGGATACTTCACTTCCTTGATCACCAATTCAAATTTTCCACGCACAGAAACCCTAACCGTTTGATTCCCAAATTCGAAATTATCCACCCAATCTAATGGAATCCAAAACCCTGAAAGTGACTGCATGGCCCAAATTCAAAAAAACATTTGCATGGAAAAGACAATAAAATTCAAACTCTATTCCCCCGAAACCAAACAAAAATAGACGAACCTTTATATTGAGAAGAACGCGTAATTGGTGAATGAATCCAACTCGATTCGCTCTGTCCAGAATTTAATCCAAGTGCTGAATTGAGATGGTTTTTCCTTCACGAAACCACCGGATGTCTGCCAATTATTAAAGTATCTCTCTTTATTAAACTAATAAGAGCAAGATTATATACTAACCTTTTTTTAATTAATTGAATAAATAAATTTTTAAATTAAACACTTTTTCGATAAAATAATATTATACGCAAAATCAAAAAAAAAAAAATCTTATTCTTTAACCGCACATTTTCCATCACTACACTATTCAAAGATATTATTATTTTTTATTTTACAAGTCGATTGGGATTTGCCCATTCTATCATGCGTGCTGCTTTGTAATTGTATTTTGGGATTCAATCAATTATTCAACCAGCTAATGAAATCATGCCACGTTAGGGTGCATATGCCGTGTGAATTGATACAGATTAAATTATTTTTATTTTTATTGTTTAATTAGTTTAGATTATGAAAAAATAAAATAAATTATCCCATATTCCAGTTGATAGTGAGTTGTAATATTCAAGCGGTCTAATTTGATTTGTGCTGCCATTGGCTAGCTGTAGGTCCTATCAGAATTTTTAGCATTAAAAAAAAATTAGACATTACATTAAACCTTTGTTTGAGCTCCATTTTAGGTAAAATTGCATTTTTGTCTCTCCTAATTTTATCATTTCCTTCGATAAAATAATATTACATGTAAATTTAAATTTTTCTTATTTTTAACCACGTATTCTCTAAAAAATCACTATTACAAAATATATTTTTCTTAAATTAAATTTTAATAGAGTCCAAATGGGGCTAATTGATGGTATCAAATTTTAGAGCCGTTTCAGCACCATTTTTTTTTTTTATGAAAATTCATTCTGAAATAATATTTTGATGGAGAATGTGTGGTTAAAAAAATGGGTTTATGTGTAATACTATTTTATTGAATACTACATGATTAAAAATAAGAGAGAAAAAAATATATTTTAGAAATAATGAGATCAAACAAGAACCTAATAAAAAATGTTAAAATGTTTTGCTTGCTTGATAATTATTTTATAAAAAAATGAGTACGATGTTAATATATTATTGCGAACTCTATTTCAAGTTGGTCAAAACTAATGAGTTGAAAATAGACAGCGAAGGGACAGAAAAATAATTTTNGAGTTGAAAATAGACAGCGAAGGGATAGAAAAATAATTTTGTAGCATGGATAAAACTCATTTCGCCCTTGTTTGAGCCCCATTTTGGGGGTGGAAATATATTTTAGAATAGTGATTTTGAGATAATGTGTGGTTAAAAAAGAAGAAGAAATTTTTGATTTATGTGTATGATTTTATTTTTTTTTATTGAAAAATGTGTTGTTGAAAAATAAATTTTTGAAAAAATAGGGTTAAAAAATTATTTAGGCCTTGTATGGAATGAATTAAAATCAGATTAAAATTGAAAATATAGCCGTTATTGTTGACTTTTATTAGACGAGTGGGACCCAATAACAGCCATATTTTCAATTTTAATGGGCTTTTAATCCCTCCCAAACGGGGCCTTAGAAAAATAGTTATAAATTCTCATTTATATACAATCCAATAGTTACGATATTAGATAATCAGTCACGAGATATGTAAAACATATAATTGTTGAACGCGTCATTTAAATAATGATCTCGTAAACAAATTTTGGTATCATTGATATTTATTGTTCCCACGAGAAATAACGTTTAAAATGTAGTTCCATAGTTAATATTAAATTCAAGTGAGTAGTGACAGCAAAAGAGTGATTTTGTGGTTCTTTATGCTACTTCTAATCTACACTATCGAATTCATGATTCTCCCTATATTCATCTATTTCAATTATCAATTAATAGTCTAATTAATTTCGTGCATTTTTTATATCCAATAACACTAATATGTTAAATGTTCTTTTTCAAGATACACCAACTTATGATTAGCACGATCAGATCATATTTCTAGTTTGAATGAAATCTTGAAGATGAAGAAGAAATTTTCAATAATCTTGTGAAAGTTTGTATTTGATTGATGAATTGATCTCATTCTTCACCTAAAAAATATGTAAATTATATTAATTTTGGGTTTAGGGAGGTCTCTCTGAGTTCTGGACGAGTTCTAGTTTATATGAAAATAAGGAAAATCAAAAATCGTGTCCAGTTTAACAGTATGTGACTGCATAGAGTAAGGAGGTGCGGGCCATGCGGCCGCATAGAAGGTCTTCATCAGCCAAAAAGTGTACTTGAGGGGTAGTTGCTGCAGCAAGTGATTTTAACTATGCGGCTGCATAGTATAAGCAACATTTTCTATTGGGCAGTTTTCATTATTTTGGTCATATATTTATTTCCCAAAATTCAATTGAGGTAATTTAAAGTGCGTTGAAAAGATAGTTCAAGGGTCTACAAATCTTCCATAATATCATTTTTCCAATTCAAATGTTTGATATGCCAAAAATAAATCTCAAATTGAGACTGAAAATTCAAATCATGACTTTTTTTGGCTGAAAGTTGACGCATGATTATACTTTGACAATACTTCATCGCTTTGACTTATTTTTCATCCAATTGATATCTAACACTCTCAAATCTTTATCGCGAGGTCCGACACAACTTTTGAATATTTGCACTTTAGTTCCCGAACTTTGAATTTGCTTTATTTTATCCCTTTTCCCTACCTTCTTCCAATTTTTTGTCCAAACATGAGTTTTTCTTAATAAAACAATAAATAACAAATTAGATACTAATCCATCCAAATAATAACAAAATATCATCATTTAGGACATCGAATAAGTATAGAAACTAGAAACCACACTTATCATTTCTCATTATAATAATCACCACATGAAGGATGTCATCTTCTCTCTCGCTATAACGCTTTAAAATGTGCTCAAATCACAAGATTTTATGGATGAAGCATGAATTTAGGGAGTTAAACTAGACGACAGAGAACACGCACAAACCATAATCTGGCAACGAAGGGAGAGATAAAATATCAATTTTAATTGAAAGAATACTATCAAACGGTCGCCAATTTAATTTCGATCAAAGTCAATTACTTTTAAAGTCACCTTTCAAGAGTTAACATATATATCTTCTATATATAAAAAACGTCTATGAAAAAAAAAACCTTGTTTTAACGGGAAAATCTAACGGAATTGGTTTTTTTAACGAAAAATCTTTTTTC